ATAGGGCTGAAACCCCCCTGCCCCCCACCCTCCCCCCCCAGACATGCCCTCCAGCCAACCCATCGACATCCCCGACGCCAAGAAGCGCCCCAAGAAGAAGAAGCGTTGCAGAGCCACCGACAGCTTCTCGGGGCGCTTTGAAGGTGAGGGGGGTTGGGTTGGGGTCGGGGTGTATGGGGCGGTCCCTACAGTGACCCCATTGTCACGGGGACCCCCCTGCCCTCCCCCCAGATGTGTACCAGCTGCAGGAGGAGGTGTTGGGGGAAGGGGCCCACGCCCGAGTGCAGTCCTGTGTCAACCTCATCACCAACAAGGAGTACGCCGTCAAGGTGCGTGCCTCGACCCCATTACTGCCCCATAACCCCACAGCCACCCTGCAGCCACGCTGGGAAATGAGGGCGGAGGGGGTGAGTGAGTGCTTGGGACGCGTAGGGTGTGGGGCTGCCTGCGTATCCACCCCATAGGGCAGGGCTTGGGGTGTGCGCACCCTGTGGGGCAGGGCTATGGGGTTTGGGGGTGTGTGTGACCCCATGTAGGGCAGGGCTGTGGGGTCTGGGGTCTGTGTGCCCCCTATAGGGCAGCGTGTTCGGGGAGGTGAGGCTGGAGAGGTTAGCCCAAATTCCCCACTGACTTTTGGGGTGGGAGCAGAACGCAGTGGGGATTGGCAACCCCTCCCCCCCCCCACACACACACCCTTTAGGACGCCCCTATTGATTCAGTGTGGGGGGGTTAGGGTTAGGGTGTGGTGTAGTGGGGCAGTGGGTGCAGCCCCACGAGTGGGAAAGGACTGGCAGGGTGGGAGGGGTTCTGTGTCCCATTTCCCCCTCCTTAACCCCCACTGACCCCCCCGTGCTGCAGATCATCGAGAAGCGCCGCGGGCACATCCGCAGCCGCGTGTTCCGGGAGGTGGAGATGCTCTACCAGTGCCAGGGCCACAGGTACGGGGGGGCACCCCATGGACCCCCCACCCCAGGAACATCCCACGTGGCCCCACTTTCCCCGATGGGCTTAGGGTGTGGGGTCTTTGGTTGTTTGGGTTTGATCTGTCCCATCCCATGGGGAAGGGTCCCGTGGGCCTGTCTCATTTGGGAGTCAGTGCTGCTGGGAGGGGGGGAGGGCACACTTTGATGGCCCCAAATCCTCCTGAAGCTTTGGGGGGCAGGAGAGGGTCTTTGGCTGTTGGGGTTCAATCTGACCTTGAGCATGGGGTGATTGGGGGTCACATCCCACGTTGGGGGGGTCCCCATATTTTGTGGTGCCCCCACCTTAGGAACGTGCTGGAGCTGATCGAGTTCTTCGAGGAAGAAGAGCGCTTCTACCTGGTGTTCGAGAAGATGCGGGGCGGTGAGTGCTGGGGGGTCTTATGGGGTCGTGGTGGCGATGAGCTCAGCCCCCCCACCCCTGCACTGAGTCCTGACCTCCCCCCCTCCACTCCCCTCACCCCACAGGCTCCATCCTGACCCACATCCACCGGCGGCGCCACTTCAATGAGCTGGAGGCCAGCGTGGTGGTGCGGGACATCGCGCGCGCCCTGCACTTCCTGCACAACAAGGGTGGGTGGGGGCACCGCCCTGCCGGGTGTGGGTCCCCCCCCGGGGGGTGAACCCGTTCCTCTGTGGGGAGGTGCCCCATGGCATGGGGGGGGCACTCAGCCCTTCTCTGCATTGGGGTCAGGGTGGGGTGGGGGGGGGGTATTTTGGCCCTATATGAGGGTTCCTCTGTTTGTTGTTCCCCCCCCCACCACCACCTATAGGAATAGCACACAGGGATCTGAAGCCAGAGAACATCCTGTGTGAGAGCCCAGACCAGGTGAGTGGGGTAAGGGGGTGATGTAGGGTGGGGGGCACAGTGCCATGGGGGTCATCCAGCCCCACACATCTGTGCCCCCACCCCACGAAGGTGTCCCCGGTGAAGATCTGTGACTTCGACCTGGGCAGCGGCATCAAACTGAACGGGGACTGCTCCCCCATCTCCACCCCAGAGCTGCTCACCCCGGTACAGCCCCCCCCACCCCATAACACTCCCACCCATATTTCCCTATTTCGTGACCCCCACCCCCCACCGTTTCTTCTGCTGTCTGTTCTAAGAGCCTCATGGGGAGGGGGGGATGGGGTGGGAGGTGTCACAGGGAGCCCTCACCCTACAACACTGCTGACCCACCCTGGGGTGAGGGAAGGCCTTATCACTGTGGGGCTCCATTGGGGATTTTTGGCCTCCGGGGGGGCTAAGCTGCAAACAGCAACTGGGGGGGCGAGGGGCACACAGTACCCCCAGCCCCTCTATCCTACTCCATCGCTGTACTGTCGTGTTCCACTTGTGTCACAGGTTCCCTGTTCTCAGCTTCACTGGGGGTTGTTTTCCCCCACTCCCCTTCACCTCCCCCTGGTTCCTATAGGGTTAAGGCTCACCCTGTGCCGGGGGGGGGCACTGTGGGGGGCGGTGCCGTTCCATTATCTGCTGCTGCAGCTTTTCCTCTGCCCTCGTCACCGGGTCATGTGTGCTGGAAAGGCCCAGAGCGTGGGGGCGGGCGCTGTGGGGTCTGGGCGTCCCCATTGCATCAGCACTCACTGCTGTGGGGAGGGGCTTGGAGTGGGGTGCTGGGGGGGGGGCTTTGGGGTGACACCCCCTCTGCAAAGGGGTACAGCTGCTGGAATCCTCTGCGTTATGTTGGGGGGTGTGGGGAACCCAAATCAGGGGGTCCGTGCCCCAGTGCTCCCCATAAGGGGAACCCATTGGGGCGATGCCATAAGGTAGGGACCCCATCCCTGTGCTCACTATAGGGGGACCCACAGATTGGGGGTTTAGGGACCTCATCCCAGTGCTCACCATAGGGAGACCTATTGGGGGTGGTACTTGAAGTGGGGTCTCCCAGATCAGGGGGTTTGGGGATCCATCCTGATGCTCCTCAAAGAGGGATGTGTTGGGGTGATGGTGGTAAATGGGATCCCCAGATCAGGGGATTTAACGACCCCATCCCAGTGCTCTCTGTAGGGGAACCTAAAGGGGTTGGGAAGGGGGTCGCCCCAGATGAGGGGCTTTGGGGATCCATCCTGCTGCTCACCATAGGGGAACCCATTGGGGTGATACTGTGAAATGGGGTCCAGCAGAGCTGAGGACCCCTTCCCAGCGCCCACCATAGGGGGACCCATTGGGGACGGTGCTGGGAAGCGGGCTGTCCAGGTTGGGGTGATCTGAGGATCCCATTGGGACGGTGTGGGGAGGCAGCCCCCCTCCAGAAGCTGCATCCTGACAGCTGCCCCCAACCCTGCAGTGTGGCTCAGCTGAGTACATGGCCCCGGAGGTGGTGGAGGCCTTCAGCGAGGAGGCGTCCATCTACGACAAGCGCTGTGACCTGTGGAGCCTGGGGGTGATCCTGTACATCATGCTCAGTGGGTACCCCCCCTTCGTGGGCCACTGTGGCTCCGACTGCGGCTGGGACCGGGGCGAGGCGTGCCCCACCTGCCAGGTGTGCGGGGTGCCCGCCCTACAGCCCCTTGTTTTCCCTTCCTTCCCCCCATACTCACCCCGCAGTCCCTCATTTTCCCTTCCCACCCCCCCAGAACATGCTATTTGAGAGCATCCAGGAGGGCAAATACGAGTTCCCCGACAAGGACTGGGCGCACATCTCCTTTGGGGCCAAAGACCTCATCTCAAAGCTGCTGCTGCGGGATGCCAAGAAGCGGCTCAGTGCTGCCCAGGTCCTGGAGCATCCCTGGGTGCAGGGGGTGAGTGCTGTGTGCCCCCCATCCCGGTGTGATGCCCCCGAGGGCTGTGGGGTCCCCATATCTGAGTGGCTCTGTTTCATTGCAGTGCGCCCCGGATAACACCCTGCCAACCCCCATCATCCTGCAGAGGTGAGTGCTGGGGGGTGGTCCTCATCTGTAGGGTTGTGGCGTGGGTTGGGGTGGGAAGGAACCGAAACTCATCTGGTTCCAGCACCGTGGGTGGGGACAGCCCCATAGAGCAGGTTGGCACAAAGCCCCATAGAGCAGGTTGGCCTGAAAACCTCCAGCCAGCATCTGTGGGGTGGGCTGGGGCCAAACTGGGGCTAATGGGGTGGGGGTGGTCATTGGAACACAGCTCCTGGGGGACTGCTACCCTGCACCACCCCAATGGCTTGCCCTATGGGATCTCCAGATCTCCTCATCTGGGGCAGTTCCCAGCACCATCCCCAATGGGTTCCCTATGGTGGGCACTGAGACTCAGAGATTTGTGGACCCCCAATGGGGTTCCCCTATGGTGAGCAGCAGGATGGACCCCCAAGCCCCCTGACTGAGGGGAGCCCACTTCCCAGCACTGCCTCCTACAGAAAGTGCTGGGATGGGTTCATTAAATCCTCTGATTTGGGGACCCTATTTCCCACCATCAGCCTAATGGGTCCCCCTCTGGGGAGCACTGAGATGGGGTCCCCAAACCCCTGATCTGTGGGTCCCCATTTCATGGCATCACCCCAACGGGTCCTCCTATGAGGAGCTCAGGGATGTGGATCCCATTTCCCACCAGTACACCAATGGGTTCCTTCATAGTGAGCACTGGGACATCAACACTCGTGATTTGGGGGACCCCACTTCCCACCATCACCCCAGTGGGTCCCCATGTAGTCAGCACTGGGATGGGGTCCCCAAACCTCTGATCTGTGGGTCCCCATTTCATGGCATCGCCCCCATGGGTTCCCTGCAGTGAGCACCAGCACATGTACCCCCTGATTGGGGGGACCCCACTTCTCAGCATCACCGCCAGCAGCCCCAGCTCACCCCACAGAATCCAGGTTTGCCCCCAGCCCACCCCACAGGCCCTCGGATGGGATGGGGGCACCCACTGCTGCTCCAGGCAGTGCCAGTGCATCGACCAAGAACTTCTTCCCTGTATTCCACCAAAGCTCACACTCTTTGTTTAAAACTGTGATCACAGGATTCTGTTTGTGCCACTATGGGGTTGCAGTGCATGATTTGGGTCCGAGCCCCATTTTCAGCACCATCCCTGCACGCGTGGGGCCTCAAACACACTCTCAGCTCCCTCCATCTGTGCCCCATAGGAACAGCAGTGCCAAAGAACTCACCTCCTTCGCCGCAGAGGCCATGGCCGTCAACAGGCAGCTGACACAGCGCGACGAGGACGAGGAAGAGGAGGAGGAGGAGCGCCCCATCATCATCAAAGCAGCCTCCAGGGCCGTGCAGCTCTCACCACCCTCCGAGTCCCAGCTGGCGCAGCGGCGGCAGAGGAGCAGCGCGGCCAAAGCAGTGGCTGCGGGGCAGCACCTGGTGGCCCCGCTGGTCCTGGTGGCTGACCAGGCCTGAGCCCCGCGGTGCTCCCCTTCCCCACCCCTTTTCCTCTTCAGTTTTTCCTTTTTTTTTTCTTTTCTTTTTTTTTTTTTTTTTTTCCCCTCTATCCCCAAATCTGCCCTTGTTTGCTGGCTGCCAACGAGATAGGACTGTCCTGTTGGCTGCTCCCCGAGGTTTTGCGGATCTTTTGAGGCTTTTGGGGCTGGTGGGGTTTAGGGAAGATCCTACTATTTTTTTTTTTTTCTAAGATATTAAATCACACGTGGGGTTGCTTCCCCCTCTCCTCTCCCCCCAGCACACCCACAGGCACCAGACAGACACTTGGGCTTTGCTCCCCAGCTCGTGGTTGGTTTCTCCTTTCCCCCCCATGCATACCCCGGCACCGAAGGACTCTGTGCCACAGCCACTCTCAGCTCATACTGTGAACAAAAGACCATCAGCAGCAGCGCTGTCACCTCGGCCCTATGGGGAGCTGAGGGGTCCCCCAAATGCTGGGGGGGGGCCTCAAGCAAGGGGGGCCATCCCAGGGATGTGTGGTATGGGAGTGCACCCCAATGCTCACCCCAACCCCAATGCTCACCCCCCACAATGCATCCCATTGCCCCAACCCCGACTTGTGCCCGCTCCGGCAGCCAGCCTCCAGAATAAGCTATTCACCCCCCTTTTATCCTTTTTAATTGTTATTGATTAGTGTTGGTTTTAACCTGCTCTAGCTGTGCTTCTCTACAGGGCACGGAGAAACGTCTTCCGTTCCACCCTCACTCCAGCAGGCAGCTCCCAGGGGTAAGGTCAGAGTGGGGCAATGCTCAGTCCCAGGGCTGTGCTCCTGCACTGGGGGGGTCGTGCACCCCAGATTCCAGGGGAGCTGAGGCAAATAGGGAAAAATATCTTTAGGAATACAGGGGTGCTCCATGGAATCCCCCTCGGTAGGGCAGCATGGCCCTGGTGTAGCTTTGGGCTGGCCCTGAGGCTGGGCAGTGGAGGGGAGGTCCCAGCTGGGAGCAGCAGCAGCAGCAGCAGGAGGGTTTGGGGTGCAGGGCAGCAGGGGGGAGCTGATGGAACACTGTGGGGTTGGAGCTGCGGCCGTCCCCGTGTCCTGCTCAGAGCAGGGAGCCCTGTTATTCTGCATTCTCTATGCTTGGAGCTTTATATGTTTGGGGTTTTTTTGGGGGGGGAGGAACAGGGGGAAGCAAAAAGCAACCGTGCCCCATGCTGTGTGCAGTGGGAGCTTGCCTGGATATGGAAGAGACATCCCCGGGTCGCTGGAAAAAAGAGTTCTCCTTTCTGTTTTCAGACTGCTGACAGCAATACTATGCAATATGTGTGGGGTTGTTTTGGGGTGGGGGTTTCCTCCAGGTGTAGGGCTGCCCTCCCCACCCCTCTTCAGCACTGTGGGGTTAGGGATGGTGATGCC